GAACGAATTGCAGAAATCAAAAAATTGCGTCTTTGTTTGAATTGCCTTAGGAAAAATCATATGACAAAGGAATGCACTTCACAGGGTTGTAAGAAATGTAACAAAAAACACAATACCTTTTTACATATCGACCATTCGACATACGTAGATACTAACAATTTAGGCAAACATACTTTAGAAGAAATAAGTAATAATCGTGATAGAAATGGAAATCCTAGTCATTCTGGTGCCTCGGATGTTCTAGATAATAGCAGAGAAGTAACATATACCAACCAATTGTTTTGTGATAAACTCAATAATCAGACAATATTATCTACAGCTTGCATCGATGTAATAGACCACCTAGGAAGACCTCAAACATGTAGGGTTTTATTAGATGCAGGCGCGCAATCAAATTTTATAACAAACGATCTATGCAATAAATTAGGCATCAGGAAAATCAAATATAACTCGTTTGTAGGTGGTATAGGGCAATCAGTGTCCACAATTAATCATAAGATCCAACTTATTATAAAATCTAAATTCAATAATTATACAGCAAACATAACATGTTTAGTTTTAGATCGCATAACAGACAATTTGCCTTTAATACCATTTAATCTGGATGAACTTCATATTCCCCCAAACATAAATTTAGCAGATAAGAAATGCAATGTACCGAGTAAGATTGATATGCTAATTGGCGCCGGCCTCTTCTGGGAATTATTGTGTATAGGTCAGGTAAAATTAGGAAAGGGAAAACCCATCCTACAGAAAACAAAATTAGGTTGGGTTCTAGGAGGCAATATTAATACTAATATACAACGTTATCATGAAAGGCACTCGGTTTCTTGCCTTAGCACATTAAATAGCCAAGATAATACCATCGACAAACAATTAACGAAATTTTGGGAAATAGAAGAGTGTTCAGGTAACAACAGCAATTTTTCATTAGACGAACAACATTGTGAAAATCATTTTATTAGCTCAATTAAGCGAAATAGTTTAGGTAGATTTGTAGTAACAATACCATTTAAAATCTCGGAACTTAGTAAATTAGGAAATTCTAGGGACATGGCGTTAAAGAGGTTGTTTGCTATGGAGAGAAAATTGAATCGTGATTCAAATTTAAAATCTGATTATATTAAATTCTTAACAGAATACGAACAGCTAGGTCATATGAGTAAAATATCAGAAAACGAAATACAGGGTCCTCGATTTTATTTACCCCACCATGCTGTGTTTAAGCAGTCTAGTACGACGACGAAACTTCGGGTGGTATTTGACGCATCCGCTAAGACTACTTCCGGTATTTCTTTAAATGATATACAGTATACAGGGCCAACAATCCAAAGCGACTTATTATCAATTCTTTTAAGATTTCGTCAACACGATTTTGTAATAACAGCCGATATCACTAAAATGTATCGTCAAATTTTAGTCGACGAATCACAACGAAACCTACAATTAATTCTTTGGCGGCCTAATCAAAATCGGGATGTCGATTGTTTTCGCTTGAACACAATTACCTACGGCACGGCTGCAGCTTCTTTTCTAGCTACTAGATGTTTGAACCAGTTAGCCCTAGAACATGAAAATCAATTTCCCTTGGAAAGCCATTTAATTAAAAACGATTTTTACATGGACGACCTTTTAACCGGGTCTAACTCAGAAACAGAACTAATGGCCATTCAAGGGAATATCTCCAAGATTTTAAAATCCGCCGGGTTCGAATTATGTAAGTGGACGTCCAACAGCCAAACCGTTATAGAAAATATAAACAAAAATCAGAAAACAACGGACAATTTGGTTAAATTCCAGGAGAAAGGTGAAAGCAAAACACTCGGTATTTTATGGAATCCCAATAATGATAATTTTCAATACAATGAAAGAATCATCTACAGTAATCATGTTACCAAACGTACGATATTATCAAACGTTGCGCAAATTTTTGACCCCCTTGGATTACTCGCCCCAATAATAGTAATAGCTAAATTAATTATACAGGATCTTTGGCAGCTGAAATTATCTTGGGATCAATCCATTCCTCTAGATATTCACACTAAGTGGTGTAAATATAGCGATCAGTTAAAATTTATTAGACATATTCAGATTCCGAGACAGGTTATATGTAGGCAGGCAAATATGATTGAATTGCACGGCTTCTCTGATGCATCTGAGAAGGCATACGGTGCGTGTGTGTATATTAGAAGTAGGAACAATTCAGGACTTTACACAGTTTCTTTATTGTGCGCCAAATCTCGAGTTGCACCACTAAAAAACATATCTTTACCAAGACTTGAATTATGTGGAGCGTTACTTTTGGCTCGTTTAGTGGCAAGGGTTAAAGACGCTATCAAAATTAACTTTAATCGACATTTTTATTGGTGTGATTCCACCATAACTTTAGCTTGGATAGCTGGACCTCCTAACAAATGGAAAACATTTGTCGCAAACCGCGTTTCGGAAATACATAATTTAACAGATCAAAAGGACTGGGTGCACGTATCGACAAAACATAATCCCGCTGACTTGATATCACGCGGGGTAGAATCAATGCAGTTAGCAAATTCAAGCATGTGGTGGAACGGGCCCCCGTGGCTTTTAGACGATATAAAAAATTGGCCTATTTCAAACATTGTTACATCTGAAGCCCCGGAACAAAGAGTTGTAGCGCATGCATCAGTTTTGAGAAGTGAATTTTCACTATTCTCTAAATTTTCAGATTTAAACAAATTAACAGCTGTAACCGCGTATTGTCTTCGTTTTATAGGAAACGCACGAACGCAGCTAACAAAACGAAAGGTCGGAACTTTAAGCACTACCGAACTGCAAAATGCTTTATTAATTTTGATAAGGAACGTGCAAGAGTCGGTCTATTTTGAGGAAAAACATCTAATAAAATCAGGTAAACAAGTCGGACGTAAAAGTAAGTTGTTATCATTACATCCGTTTTGTGACCAGGATGGCTTATTGCGGGTAGGCGGACGTATCGAAAACGCAAACTTTAGTTACGATAAAAAACACCCAATAATTCTTCCTCCTAAACATCACTTAACAAGATTAATAATAGAACATGAACATAAGCGTTTGTTACATTGCGGGCCTAATCAAGTTCTCGCGTCTTTAAGAGACAAATATTGGCCAATTTCCGCCAAAGGTAGCATAAGGCAGATTATACATAAATGTTTAAAATGCTATAGGGTAAATCCAAAACCATTCGTACCCTTTATGGGATCACTACCCAAAAGCCGTTTAACACCAGCACCACCGTTTTATAACTGTGGAATTGATTACGCTGGGCCTATTTACATCAAGGAAAAACGCGGACGTAGTAATAAGGAAATAAAGGCTTACATGTGCATTATAGTTTGTTTTGTGACAAAGGCTATTCATTTAGACTTAGTAACCAGCTTAACTGCAGAAGCCTGTGTGGCCATGCTGCGTAGATTTATATCACGCCGGGGCCAACCTCTAAACATTTACTCAGATAACGGCTTAAGTTTTGTAGGAGCAAATTCCGAGTTAAACGAATTTTACAAAATGCTAAACAACCCATCAAACTCTGCCATTATCAATAATATAATGAATAAGTCAGGCATTACTTGGCATTTTATCCCTCCCAGATCGCCCCATTTTGGGGGTCTATGGGAAGCTGGTGTGAAATCGGTAAAAAACCATTTGAAGCGTGTAGTCGGTAATACAAAACTAACATTTGAAGAGTTTTATACCTTGCTAACACAAATAGAAGCGGTTTTAAATTCCCGTCCTCTTTCCCCTTTATCAAATGACCCAACAGAGTTAGAACCCTTGACCCCAGCGCACTTCCTTATTGGTCGAAAATTAACAGCCATGCCAGAACCTTCGTTACTGGACATCAAGGAGTCCCGACTAAACAAATTTCAGCATATCCAGAAGATGCAGCAGGACTTCTGGAAACGTTGGAGCAAAGAATATGTACATCAATTACAGACTCGGTCGAAATGGAAGGAAACCCAGCAGTGTTCAATCAAATCAGGTGTTCTCGTCTTAATTAAAGAAGACAACCTGCCTCCATTAAAGTGGCAATTGGGTCGTGTAGTTGACGTTCACCCGGGAAGTGACGATGTGATACGAGTTGTTTCAGTGAAGGTGTCGAACGGAAAAATCCTAAAACGTGCGGTCACAAAAATATGTGTGCTACCAATGGACATGTGAAAATGACACTTTATATATGTATTAGTTATAGAAGTTTAGTTCATAGATAACAATTAGGGTTTATATAATTGTAAAATTGATAAACGGATGTTTATGTATTGTATATATTTGTACATTGAAGACGTGTCAGGTAATATGTGGAAGCATCTTTATGTTTATATTTCAGTTGAAAGCAGCAACTTTCAAGGCGGGCGGCTATGTTGAATTCATTGTTATTCGACCGCTTTTGGATACAGCGGTTTATTGCCCTAGCCCATGCTCTGCTTGGGTTGTAAATACCATAAGTAACCATTTCAATACTCACCCTTAATTAATATTCAAACATTAACAAATAGCCTTGAAACGTTACTTCTGTGAAACCCAAGCAGGTACCGTTACCACCCCCTTGGAG